TATATACCTGACTCGGGTAAGCCTTGCAATACGCAGCCATGTCCTGCAGCGTTGTCTTGAGCACCTCCACACTCAACCCCTTAACCGTCGCCTCCACCGCCATCGCTGCGTTTGCCGTAGCCACCGATGGTGGCCCATGAGCTATGCACAGAGGATCAGTGGGAGCATAGCCTGACTGCATACTCATAGGCTGTGTAAACGCTTGTTGTGGTTGGGTGGAGTTGGGCCGCCCGATGTTCCCTTTGTCTACGCCGCCCACAGGTACCTGAAAGACGGGGAGGGAGGGTTTAGGGTTTAGGGTATAGGGTTTTAATCCATGCTTCTTAGTAGTTATTGAAGCGCGTCGTGCTAAATCCAGTTATATCTAGTTGTATTCGGTGCGATGGGCGATAGATTAGCTATGGAGGACGTAGAGGCTATGGTCTTCTAAAACAGATGATTCGGCAGGTGTTGTGTGTGATTTGGCTGTGTGTTTGTGTGATAATCTATACATCCGGTGCCTCTACCTGCTATTCGATTTCTCAGTGGTGTGTGTCAGTCACCACTACACTTGATCACCAGTATGATAGTCGGTTATGGAAGTTCTGTACATTACTAGCAATACTCGAGCGTGTCCAACTAGTTTTCGACAACGTTCGCTCAAGTGCAACATCCCCTTCGCACAAGTCCGAAGCGGTTCCCCACTGAATGTGTGGGCGTTCTACAGAGAGTCACGAGTACTGCCAATAACCCACACAACACACACACCCGATTGTCATGCTGACTATCCAGTCGGAAGAACCCGACATATGCGCAGAATGAACTCAATATATGACATACGCCTACAGTACTGCTTATGCGGTGACTGCCGTGTGGGAGACAAATGGTCTGGAGTGCAGCGGGTGTGCAGCTGGGATCGTACTATTCCTAAGTCTCTACTCACTTTTGTGCACAGACAAATACGACACAGCACTAAAGCGAGTCACTTCTCAATTCGAACTACCCATACTGTACAGTATCTGTACTGTACGGAAAGAGTACGACACAGATATAAACAAACGTGTCTCAGCTCTCACCTCGATCTGCCCCGGACATACTGACGAATGCGACACCGCCATAGAAGCAATCTACTACTCAGCCCCATTCTCTCCTATACACTAACGAACACGACCTACGCATGAGAATCATCCAACCGGTCAACTGCACACATGCCTGTGCAGAGAGACGTGCGCATACCTGCATCTGCTGCATGTTTTGTCCTTGATTCGGATTCCACGGCCCTGGCCCTTGATTCTGGTTTATAGGACCGCCCCCCACCATGCCTGGTGGTAAGGTTTGATGATAGAGGGGTTGGAAGCGTGATAAAGGTTGCACGTATGTCTGAACGTGTATGCCTTTATACTAAGGAATACCTATCTACTTATCAATACGTACCTACCCACATATAAGTAGGTACCCTCCTACCTATGCCTACATACGTCATATACCTACATACTCTTGGTATATTCGAACGTACGACAAAAGAAGGGACCAACGATGACAAGAGTGTGTATACGTAGGCAGTACTGAAAGTAGATCCATCAACTCACAATCACCAACATATGGACTGTCAGGATCAATAATAAAGAAATGAACACAATGCTAAAGCACTTAAGAATATGGACTGTCAGAATCAATAAAAAAGAAATGAACACAATGTTTAAGCACTTAAGCATATGGACTATCAGAATCAATTAAAAAGAAATGAACACAATGCTAAAGCACTTAAGCATATGCACTGTCAGAATCAATAATAAAGAAATGAATACAATGCTAAAGCACTTAAGCATATGGACTGTCAGAATCAATAATAATGAACGGAACACAATGCTAAAGCACTTTAAGTATATGGTCTGTCAGAATCAATGATAAAGAAATGAACACAAAGTAAAAGCACTTGAGCATCGTTCGCGCTACTAGCAAATCTCTTGGGTGCAAGACTCATACGCCCTCCACCTGTGAAAACATATCCTACCAACAATCAAACACAACTAGCGCATATGCAGAGCCCACTGCAGATCTACTGCTCAAGGCCTACTCAACAAAACAAGTCCTCGGCCACAGAAACGCTCGCGTTTTGGATATAATACTGAACGGAATGCTCGATCGAACACCTTATGTTACGTTAAAACACGGCACAGCCCATTACCGATGACTGATGTTCGTTCGGGATACGACTGCGCGCCGCCTACGAAGTTGACACGTCTATGGAAACATAGATACACCTGAACCATGGACTAATAAATATCCGCACACGGCAACAGCCCACTCAGGCCCTCAGCCATATCGCCAACTCCGCGCTTTTGCCCTGCCAAACCCTCCAACTCACCCAAACGTTACCCAACCTTCCCCTCATTTTACCTACCTGGTGGGGCATTCCCGCTCTGCAGAGCCTGAGCCGCCGCATTGTCTCTGGCGTCCTTGTCGGCGTAATCCACTCGTAACATCCTGCCCAGCATCTCCGTATTCGCCAGATTGCGCAGCGCGCACATGGCACTCTCCTCGTCCATGTACTCGCAGAAACCATAGCCCTTTGGCTTGCCCGTGTCCCGATCGAAGACGAGTCTGGTAGTGGGGAATAGGCGTGTAGAGTGAATAAACAGTACCCATGAAAGCTGCACCCATGGCTTGCCACGGAGAGTGTGTTGGTAGGTAGTCCGTGCGCGTGTATAGTGACGAAGTAACACAAACAACAGCTAGTTCCTTGGGCCTGTCTGAGTCGCGATTAAAGACGAGCCCGTTAGTGTTCCATAGTCGTGGCCGTGTCTTTATTTGTGCAGCGAAAGATGATGACTGAAGAGAAAAATGGCCCAGGGTTAATTGGCCCAGGTTTAAATGGCCCAGGGTTCGTCGGTGTGGCTATCAAAGACGCGTGTATCCGTTGACGATGAAGAATTAATACACATGAAAGCTATACCCGTGAGTTTGCCCGAGCCACAACCAAATACGAGGCTGTTGATACTCAATACGTGTTCAGAAAGGAGAAGCTACACATGAAAAACGTATACTTGGGTTTGCCCGTGGCGCGATCAAAACCGAGTGTGTTGGTCTGTTAGTACGTCAGATGCGACTACAATGAAAAAGCAATACCCACCATCAAAGACATGTTCGTGGAATTGACGTGTCGGCTGGTATACCAGATGGGTGTGTATATATCATACAAGCATATCATCTATTGGTGGTAAGCGTGTGTGTGTGCAGTGAAAAATTGCATCACGCCAATACTAAAGTTGGGCATTGGCCGGTGTCGCGATCGTAAACGAGTCTATTGCTAGTTAACAGGTGTATAGTTTATTATGGAGCAGTGATACGCATTGGTCACATCCATAATTTACCCGTGCAACGATCGAAGTTGGGTCTGTAGGTAGTGAGTGGCAAGCCGTAATCATGGAGAAGTGGTACATACTAAACACATATCCTAGGGTTAGCAAACGAAACACATATCCAAGAATTGGCATGCTATAGGGGTAGCATGCTAAACACATATACTAGGGTTAGCATAGTAAGCACATATCCTTGGGTTAGCATACTAAGCACATATCCTTGGGTTAGCATTCTAAGCACATATCCTAGGGTTAGCATGCTATAGGGGTAGCATGCTAAACACATATACTAGGGTTAGCATACTAAGCACATATCCTAGGGTTAGCATTCTAAGCACATATCCTAGGGGTAGCATGCTAAACACATATCCTAGAGTTAGCATACTAAGCACATATCCTTGGGTTAGCATACTAAGCACATATCCTAGGGTTAGCATGCTATAGGGGTAGCATGCTATAGGGGTAGCATGCAAAACACATATACTAGGGTTAGCATACTAAGCACATATCCTAGGGTTAGCATTCTAAGCACATATCCTAGGGTTAGCATTCTAAGCACATATCCTAGGGTTAGCATGCTAAAGGGGTAGCATGCTATACACATATACTAGGGTTAGCATACTAAGCACATATCCTAGGGGTAGCATGCTAAACACATATCCTAGGGTTAGCATATTAAGCACATATCCTAGGGGTAGCATGCTAAACACATATCCTAGGGTTATCATACTAAGCACATATCCTAGGGTTAGCATACTAAGAACATATCCTAGGGGTAGCATGCTAAACACATATCCTAGGGTTAGCATACTAAGCACATATCCTAGGGTTAGCATTCTAAACACATATCCTAGGGTTAGCATACTAAGCACATATCCTTGGGTTAGTATACTAAACACATATCCTTGGGTTAGCATGCTAAGCCCATATCCTAGGGATAATCCATGTAGCGACCAACGACGAGTCTGGGCATGGGCATGTAATGAGAACTACTCTACAAAGAGAATGCATTACTGGGGCTGACGTTTGCCATGAACTACTAATTGGTTTGCTAGATAACATGCGTATTCGGGGGATGTGTTCTGTATTCCATAGCCATTTCATATGCCAAATATGGTAGTGTACCAAAGCCACCCGTGCAAACGCCAGGCTGAAAAGCGTTATTGACATGCACAGCCCTCAGGAGTTCGACGTAATGTGTGCGAAAGATTTTACTTGCATATATATATATATATATATAAGTTTATGTCACCCACAACCAGGATTTCAATACCGTTTACGAGTCCGAGACACGCGTATATAAGGGTGCACTGTATAGTTGTTTGTGGAGTTATGTAACTTTACCTGAAATGCACAACAGGCCCAGCTTCTTTAAATTTCTCTGTCAGCTGCTCCTCCGTAGCATCGTACGGGATATTCCCCACTGCGCGAAGAAAGCAAATGCAAGATGAGCTCAAAACGACGTACACACAACACTCATCACGCCATTTTTATTTCGTAACAAAGTGCTATATAACACTTCAAATTTGAATATATACCGATATGTACATATAATATCAGATCTATTCACGTAAACGACTTCAGCCACAGGAACTAAACGCACACATACTTAAACACACACTCGGACAGCACATATATAATACAATATAATATATATATATATATATATGTATGTATGTATGTATGTATGTATGTATGTGTATGTATTTAAATATAAATATATATATATGTGTGTGTGTGTGTGTGTGTGTGTGTGTGTGTGTTTGTATGTGTGTGCGTGTGTGT